GATATGGCATGTCATTTAACCCTATCCATTATTACATGTTCCATCGTGAGTTGATGTCGATGTTGATGTACACCAAAACAACAAAAGGCCCCACAGGACAGAAACAGTTGTGTTCTTTTTCAGCGAGCAAAGTCCATTAGCCTCTGTAGTAGCCTGTGTTATCAAGTATTGAGTCTGATTGTCATAACCAATGTAGGCTTGTTGATTGAAATGCAAACTATTTTTTTGCCCAAGCGCAGCAGTTTGACCTTTATCTAGCTGATGCTGACATTCCCGGGGTTGAACAAGGGCCAACTACAAGCAAGAGACATCCTGGAAATCATAGTGGACTCTTCCATCACAGTTGCAGTGGCTTGACATGCTTGAGCACGGACGGCATTGACAGTGTCCTTAGGGAGGAAAGGAAATTGTGATGGCGCTGGCAGTGCTGCCTGGCTTGTGGAATCTTGGCTTCGCTGTACAAATTGTTACACAAACAAACAAACAAACATATCTACTAAACACAATTGTTACACCTGCAATGTGCATTGTGCTTGGTTGTTGCATGGTCAAGACACCTCCACAGCAAAGGAAGTGGAACTGCTCGTCGTCCTTGGTGCAGGGCCTCACTGCAACAATGAGTCAGGGCCCAGAGAGTCAGGGAGTCAGGGAGGCAGAAAATTTAAAAAAGAACTGCCAAGAAATGTAAGGAACATAGTTTGGGGTTTTAGATGCCAAGTGGCCAGGAAGTTGAAGTTGTTGTATGCCCACCGCGATGTCTTCCAGCAAAGCATAGTCTGTGGTGATGTCCTTGGATTCCTTGGTGGCCAGTCGCCATGGTTATTTTGATCAAATTATGATATATATATATATATATGTAAGTTTGGCCAATTGACCTCTATTGAGTCCTATTTGTTATGCAAGTGCCCGGAGTTTGTACACCTCCAAGGCAGTATGTTTATGGACGTTTGTTAGATACTCATCCATGCCCATCCTAGATGCACAAGATACACTAGATCAAGATTTGGCGTCTTTACAACCCACGACCCAGAACCCTTTCATTCACTGAAAAGTAATACTCGCTGACTCGCTGAGCCTCAATGGAAATTGCTGGTCTTGATGATGTAGCAGCTGCATCATCCATTGCCAGCTTTGAAACATCTATTGCTGGCGTCTCCCCAAGTAAGATCTCGGTTCCTACAGGGCTTTAACATGATACAAGCCAACAGAATCCACAACAGAGTGGAACAACTTATATCATTCTCAATTCAGCCCCAAAAGAAGTCATTCCCCATTCCCAGCCTTGATCGGAAAGGCATCCAACCACTTGGTTGCAGTAAGCAGAGATGTGGTCCCCAGTTTCCAACTTGATGGCGTGCAATAGGGCTGCCGCTTTGTGTGCAAATGAAGTGGCACCTGCAAATTGCAAAGCAAGGATGTGTTCCAAATACTTTCCCCTCGAGGATGTTGGAGAGCCATTTGGTCGTTTTATGATTAGCGTTTGTTTTGCTTGTGTTGCAACATCAACCAGGTGCAAGCAACACAAGTGTTGAATGTTGAGCGGTTGATTTTTTCAGCCATCTCCCTCTCCACCCTGTGTTCCAAAAAAAAAGACCCAACCAGCCAGGCCAATCCATCAGCCCTTCATGGAAAACATGTGATCCAATACCAAAACCCGCCTATTTTGCGACTGTCACCCATGCCAGTGAAAAAAACATATGTTTTGAAAACTGAAGGTACCCATCCCACCACATCACCATAAACCCAATTATTTTGCCAGCAAGGTCGTCTTCTGCGACAAGTTATCTCATATCCACATATCTTCCCAAATCAAGACATGGGCGTGGTGCTCTCATTCGTGTTGAACCAGGTCTATTCATTGGTTCATGTGGGACCACTTGGCCTTCAAAGGCTTTCCATGCCTAATGGCCTCCGCTTCCGGCTCCCAACAAGAACCAACCTGATCTGTATGTGCTTTGTCAGGCGATGGTGGCATCAAAGCCCAGCAAGCTGTCAATGGCTCTTCCACCGGATCAATGACTTCCTGTTCAAGGCTCGAAGCTTGAGAAAGACAAGGCATCTCGAAGCCATCAAAGATACCGTCATAGGCCTCCGTTGGTTGACTGTCTGGATGATGCTTAGGTTGGCCAACATGCTGAGTGTTGGCCTTGACATTCAATATCATTGGCACAGGTCCAGCGTGTGCGGGCAAGGCCAACTCTACCTTCGGAGATACCACGACAGGCAGGATGGTCTGTGGTGTCGCCAGCATAGGTTCTGCAGACGTTTGACCACTTCCATGTGGAATGACAGGAGAAATTGTAGAGGAAGGCGATGGTTGAGGAGGGGTTGTAGTTGTAATGACTTTCACCCCCACCGTCACACCGATTTGCAGTTGCAAGCTTGTGTTGTTGGACAAGCCACAAGTAAATGAACTGGTATCAAATTGTGCTTGGCAAGATGTTCCTTCCATGCTGCTATCCTTGGCCCTGGCGCCAGGAGTGCGTCCAGTCTCCGTCTTCCGGAAAGTGGCTGGGGTCTCAAGATCAGCCATTGGAGAGTACAATCAGAAGTCGGGATGAGTCTACCTAGGCAGTCAGTCTAAAAGCTGAGAGCTTGAGCAAAAGCAGCAGTCAACTGTACCTAGAACCTGGGGTCTAGAGTCTAGAGTACTGAACCACCGGATGACGCCGTCGCAATCGCGCAAGCACCTCGTCCCAACGTCACGGGCGGAAGGACGCGCCGTGTAATTTCAAACTCCCGTGGATGCACAAAGTTTTGGGTTTGCTCACCATCAGCGCTGCCGGCGTCGGCGTCATCATCATCATCATCGTCATCCATAATGGATGACCACGCTTTGCGCCACCCCAAGAAAGCAGACGCAGCGCTTTTGATACTGCAGGGTTCATACAAGAAGAAGCCGATGATACATCAATACATTACATCATATCTAAAAAACAATCTTCTATTTAGCTTATACAGCTGGTTTGTTTATCTACCAAGCTTGAGATACGAGTGATACATCTAAACCAAAAAACATCAAAAACCATCTTCTAGCTTACATCATACTACATCGCTAGTCTTTTTTAGATCTATGGGAGCAAATGGCAGTGACAACTACAAAGTGGTTAGTTAGCGCCGCCCATTTGCAGCATATCAACGGGTCACCGCGCATCCAGCCTCACCACATGTTCCTCCACCACAAAAAGTTCTTTCTTCATAGTTGATGCATCATAGCCTTGGTTTGGCTTTGGTTGAACGAAGATCTAGATGTGGCTTTGGTTCTACTTCTAGTTCTGGGATTTACTTTTTCTAGATTCGCTACAACAACGATGACAAGCAAATCCTTATTTTAACACATGCCCAAGCATAATCTTGTTAGTCAAAATAAAACCTGCAGCAATTGAACCAACATGTTTGTCTAAACAAAAGCTAGATGCTCAACTGGATAGATGAGTTGGCCATTTCTGTGGTTATCCATTGTTGGCGTCTCACCCACATCATCGCAACATCAACCTTCCGTCGAGCTCTGCTCAGAGTCGCAGCAGAAGGCACATCAACCTTCGCATAGTCTTGGAACACCAAGGCCAAAACGCCTTCGACCGTCTTCTTTAGCGATGCAGCGTCTCGAAGATGTATTGACCTTAGGTGGTGGTAGTGCCAGTGTGGGTTTGATGTTTCTTGTGTATTGTGTACTGACCTGACAAATGCCAGAAAGAATGGGAGCCGGAGGATTGGTTCATTTTAAAAATCTCAGGTGGCTTGCAACACCAAGTGATCTTGCCACACAAGGATGACACGGGGAAAAGCATTGAACTCTAGCTCTGAACTGAACCTTGTAACATTGTTGTTTTCTACACCAAAAGGCCATGAACTAAAACCCAATGTTTGTTCATCTTATGAATTCGTTCACATTTACGAACTCTTGAAGAAGATTTGTTTTTTTAACTTAGAGTACCAGGGAATGGAACGCGGCTCACTTACGTACAGCTGGGCCACACATTCAGGAGCTTCACTAATTGGACCATGTTGTAGAAAGGTCTTCCAGACCCACATGAAACCGTCATAGGGCGCAAATGCGAGCAACTCTGCTTAGCCTGCACAGCAGAGGATCTTTCTGGACCTGGTGCATCGCTGTTGGCCAATGCCACTGTGGATACCTGAGCGGCCGGTCCAGTGCTAGTGGCTGAATGGAAGCTAAGTGCTACAAACAACTATACACAAAGTCAAAAGGTTGGCTCATGACTCATTACCAGCCCAAAAGACATCCAAACGTTTCACCAGTTCTGCAACTGCAGACATTCCAGACGTGAACTGCGAGATTGTCGGTGCACTGCCATTAGAAAAAATGCAGTCCCCGCAGGCGAGAAAGGATCTCCATGCGCTGGTTGCCAGTGCATGCAGCTCCATGGCATTTCCCTTTGCGACTCTTGTGTATGTATTAAGTACTATAAATAGTTGTTTCTTGTGTGCTAGTTGAACCACATTGGACACCCTGCTGGTGGATTTCCCTCAACATGCTAGTCAGCATGTGTATGTATGTTGCATGTTTTGCACCAGTGTGTGCAAGAAAGTGTTCATCAACGATGCCCTTTCATCAGTTATATTGGTACCTACACATTGTGTTTCTCTCTTTCCAAGCTGTGTTCATTAAGAACGATGCTTGCCACTTTATCACAGAACATAAGAAACTGACATGTTTCCAAAAAAATGCTCACTTCATTGAAATTGTAAATGGTCAGTAGTTTGAACCATTCCGACAAAGGTTGGCCGCGCTCAAAGTGTCTGGCCAGCAAAGCCAAATTCAAACCCGACTAGCCTGTGTTGCACGCATACAACCGCCCAACTTAACCCGTTTTTTTTTTTCATCTCTTGTTTTCATATCTGATAAAAACATGCAAAAAACAAATGATGTTCCTGTAGTCGCATCCTTATTCGCAAGGGTGACTCTTATTCGCTGGTTTTGTGAAATTTGGCACACCTTCTAAATTCTCCTTATGCTGGCACCCTGGGCACCCCACGAAGTAGCAGCCTTGCAGCACAGAGAAGAATAGGAGGCTCATTGGATTGTAGGCCTCCCAGCTGAACCCCGTGGAAAGCGTTGTGGGCAAAATGCTTGGAAGAGTAAGCTGCAAAAAGCATTTTCCAAAACAATCCTCAAATGTGCCTTCCGGATATGCTGGATCACCTGTCCCATGTTGGGGGTAATCTCTCCTGAGGTCGGCAATGCCGGCCAAGCGAAGCCAAACCTCATCTTATCCATTTCAGCTCAGAAGCGGAGGCGGGGGAGCCGCTCTTCTCTCCGCGAGATCAGGTATTCACCTGGAAGGTCTGGGTGAAGAGGTTTCAGTCTGTTTTCCGGCTTTTCAGGATACCCATTTCATACAGATCATATATATATATAATGCATTTCTTCTTAAAGACAGAACCTCCCTCGTTCAGTTTCCACCTTCCCACGTTCCCAAGGCCTTCCGGGTGGAAATGTCGCGTCGGAACCCAATGACGTGCCACGATGCCTGGACCATTTGCATAAGCAGCCGCATGTTTGCATGTGTCCAGTCAAAGGAGTCTGACAAAGAGGGGAAGTAACTTTGTCCAGTCTGCCCAACAGTGACGTCTTTGGGAGAAACTGACCGAATCAACCAATCAAACAAGGTGGCAGCAGGGCGATCAATGACAAAATCTGTTTACTAGTGTACTGTAGTCAATTCCATCGAAGATGAATTCTATGAACAGAAAAGGCAAGTAATATATATATATTATAATATATGTACTCAAGGGGACAACCCACACTTGTGTACCTGGCAACTTGGAGGTCTCACGTGCATAACAAATCGGACTTTTTGAGGCCACCTTTTGCGCAACACAAGGCATCCAAAGCATACACCACCCACCTTCACTGAAACAGCAGCCATGGTACTTAACCAGAGGTAGTTCAGGAAAGCTCTCGCAAGTATGGCGAGCTTCGCTGGCAAGAAAGCTGGCTGATGCAGTTCTGGATAGTCTTGTGGACGAAGAACAAAGTCTGAGCGCAAGGTCAGCGGAATGCATACCCGTCTCCAAACAATCTGATTCCAAGGTAAAGTGCGCAAGAACGAAAGGACCACGCTTCCCAGGACTCCCCCATGCGGCGCCATAGGCTACCGTACAATAGTTTCCACCCCACTAGCATCGACTAACCAAGTCCAGTTATGCAGGACCACTTGCTGTTCACACGGACCCTTCTCCACTGCAGCTTTCCAAGTTCTGATTGCAATATTTACTATTACTATCTATTACTGTACCATCAAGATCTGCACAAGAAGCTGATTCACAAGAGCTGCATTACAACCCCTGTACCCTCCTACACACTGAACTGTATTTATGTCAGTGGTTGGGCATCGGTCGCTGCTTGAGCGCCGTCCATTTTGGGGCCAGCCAGACAGTTCAGCCGGCGAGTTGTTACGCACTCCTTGCAGACTTCAACAGATCTGCGCACCAGGGGCAAACACAACTTAGTGTGTGCACCAAGCCATGGAACCAGAAAAATACCGATCAGATGCGGCAGTCGTGTTCCGGTCCTGATGACGAACTACACGAAGACTCAAAAGAATGAAGACCAAGAATAGAAAAGTCAGGAGACGCATTGGCCTACCGGCAGGATGTATTGTGTACAGGCAAAGGGCCTACACTCAACTCCTAGCACGAAGAGCCAAAAGACCGCTTTGCCGCTTTGCAAACCTACGGTGAGCACGCCATCAGCAAAAAGTACCCCCTCAACCAAAAAGAATAAACTGACATAATCTGACATATCTAGACTGCACCGATCCCTCCTTGATATTGCCACCTTCCGTCGATGTTGCAATGTTGCCATAATTTTGAAGGCAGCTTTGAACTTAATTGATCACTCATGCAAAGCCAGCGACGTTCTCCAGCTTAACCCTTTGGCTCCAATAGCATCCTTTTCAGATACCAGCACAAATGTAAGAAGTAGACAGCGTAGCACCAATGAACGACTAAACTATGGTCATTCAGAATCATCAAGCTGAATAACAACCCACATAAACCGCCAGCCCCACCGCCACACCCAGCACTGGCAAACAGTGATTTGTCAGGCCACATCCCAGAATCGCCGGCAGGGCAATCGCCTTCACTGAGACAAAGCTGAGGGTGAAGGCTCCTGGCTCGAAGGACAAAGGGAGGGATCTCAACGGTTGGGCTCGCATCCTCTTGAATCTTTTGTTTGTGCGAAAAACAACAATAAAGATAGCCTGTTGGTTTAGGTCCAAAAGAACGTCCCCCACTCCAAAGCATGAAGATGGGGAATCAAACCATTGTGCTGAAAAAGCTGCTTTTTTGCTATCAGCTCCATGAGAGGTGACCACAACAAGTAAGTGATCTATTGCGAACTGCCCCAACAAATGCTGTGCCCCCACTCATTCCATTCCATCCCTGCATCCTCTGTTTTTAGAAACTACATCTCACAGCGCTCCCCTGCCTAGGAACATGCGCCAAACAATGTGCGATGGCTGAATCCCGAACTCTGCCAACATGCGGAGCGTATCCAAGAAGGCCTAGGTGCTTGTCTTTTTTGCTTGCGCTTGTGCTTTGCAAAGGTGTTGGGACAAGTCTTACTAAAGGAAACGTGGTGCTCACAGAAACGAAGCCTAAAGCCTCATTTGCGTGTTACCAACTTGGAGAAGTCTTTAGTGTGCTTCCATTGGCACAGTCCTTTCTCCGCGGCACTGTAGGGACCTCCGCAGAGAACAGCATGGGGACAACCCAGCCCACACCCTGTGCACGCAAGCCTCAGAAAGCATCTCAGCTGTACCTTTCTGGAGCTCGCTACAAATGAAGCCAAAGGCAAATGCTTCTGGTACAAACAGGCACAAGGCGTTTGCTGCAGGGATGAGTTGGAAGTGATGCGGATCCAATGGTTTGCCTCTGAAGCTTCTCCAGGACCCCAAATTGTCGCCCATCAATTCAGCCAAAAGACAAGACCAAATCTTCACCTCGGATCAGGTCCGTCCAGTCACCTGTGCTCAAACCTTGAGAACAACCGACTTGTTGTGCAGGGTGAAAAGGCCATAGGAGAGAAGAGGCCCAACATTTGGCAACTTGAAGGCCACAAATGAGGAATTCCCAGGTAACCAAATGTGATCTCACAAGGTTGGTTATTATGTAGGAGTTGAATGATATAGGACTAGCGGTGCCGGTGGGAAGGATCAGCACGATGGGAAAATTCACGGATTACGTCAAGGTTGTACGCATCCTGGCCCTCCAATTTTGGAGGGTCGGGAGCTGTTGTAAAGCTTAGAGGCTTAGAATTCGGAGCCAAGGGCAGTTCTCTACTCTAGAACACGCAAAGTGGATACGGCTGTGTCGTGTCCTTGTGGACCGACAGAATGATGGAGAGCTAGGCTGGAATGAATCGGTTGAAGAAAGGACACGGCAAAAAGACTACACACTGATTTATGCATAAATAAAGAGTATAGATAGGCAGGTAGTCGGCGCACAAACAAATGTAGTCTGTGTATACTCGTGCATTGCATGTGTCCACTGAATAACACCACAATCAGCCGCCACGTCATTATCCCACCCGCACCCCCGCTCCCAACAGACCCCCCCAACCATATCTAGCATCAATCCAATAGCCTACAAGACTCCTAGATACGTGTCTCTTCTCCGGCTCTCCGATGGTAATGAATCCCGATGGTAATACTTTGAAGCCGATGACAATGTTGCTGTATGTTGCTGTAAAGCTGGTCATTATGGGGATGAGTATGTTCGGAAGCGTAAAAAGTGAACATCAAAAGCACAAGATCACAAAGTGTCCAAAATGTGGGTGTGTCCATCAGGAGCGTCAAACACGACGCCCCGGTGGGGCGGTACCCAAAAAACAAGGCCCTTTCAAAGGATAGGTCGGCTAGGTTTATGGATAGGGAAAAATATGTGACCGGCAAACACATATATAAGTTGATTACAGAAGACACGTAAAAGACTTGACTAGAGTTGAGCATATAGATAGATGCAAGCACGGGCCCTGGTGAGTGGAGTCCGTAAGTTTTTATTGCCTTTAACCAAAACACAAAAAAGCCAAAGCTACTGTTATTACTGATACTTTCGACGACGACGACGACGACGACGACGACGACGACGACGACCGCAGTAGTCGTTGTCGTCCTTGACTTCTGGGATTTGGTCAAAGGGTGAAGCCCTAGGAACTAAAGTACAAAGCCCCACTCGAGGTCGAAAAACATGCACGACTCAATCCAGTAACCAGTGGAAATGGGGGTGCCTCTCGCTCGCCCAGCCCAAGCACTCACCGACAATTCAAGTCACGAAATTGCCGAGTTCATTGAGTGCCCAGAGTGGATCGGACAAAAGTTGAGTTTTCAGGGCGCAAAGAGTGTAACTTGTATATCCTTGGCTTGGCGGCTTGACAAATGCTGAACGTGCAACATGGTAACACCACCTAAAGTCACTTGGAAAAGCTTGACATGTTCAAGGTTGGAAATGCAGAGGATCATGTATGAATTGACTGACAGGTGAGGAGTCTCGTGGCTTACTGCTGCAAAAGGTGATCCTATAGTTGGTCCATCAGGCACTGACTCCTGGAGAAAATACAACAGTGTCACAACAATCAAAACCAAATCCACTTCCACTACCTGTGAGACTATGTGCCGCTGAGCATCCCAAAGAGAAGCAAAGCATGGCCTCGGAACCTCAGAGGAAATGCTGTCAGACCATGTTGCAGACGAGTCCACATACGTTTGGGGAACTTGGGGGGGTTATATAGGGCAGAAAACTCATGCGGACAGAGACAGTTGTAGATGGTCGTTTGGAAGTGGGATGATAGTGTCTGGTTCGGTCTTGGCCTCCGGTTTTTTGGGCAGGACAGGTCTCCGCGTAGTTCGGCTGTTCCACTCTTCTACTTCAAACCCGACACAAGGTCGAGAAACCCACAGGCGAGTTCCAGCGCCCACTCAAGAACTTCCGGAGGCTGAAGTACGAACACCCAAATGCATGGATTGCCTCAGTTTGGGAGAAGAAGGGTGGAGACATGGTGTTTTCAAGACGAGGAGCAATTCCTCCAAAGCCAGCAGCTTTTGAGCAGTTGACACCTTCCTAGAAAAAGGTTGGAAAAAATGCATGAGTCATAGCATACATTGTATGAAGTGAACGCTTTGCTGAATCAAGATGAGACTGCGGATAGCAGATAATGCTCCTCAGCTATCGGATATCGGGAAAAATTGTGCAACACGAGTGAGTTGACCAGCGCAACTATGATCACTTCCTTGAACATACCTTGTTTCCTTGCAACACCAAGCTTCAGCAACCTTGCGCTTGAGAAGAGTATTGGGACGAGTTGAAGAGGCCGATCTGAAGAAGGCATCACGCAGGATCAAGCCTTGGTTTTACTGGTCACTTCCCGGCAGTCGCTTCCAAAAGTCATGCTCGTCCACTTAATTAAACCAATTGAGGTATCGACACCGTAAACAGGATGACTAGTCCAAGTGTCAAATCACCTGATGAAGGTTTGTGGACCTGTCCCCTGTAGGACCTGTACCATACTTTTTTTGTGCCCGCGGCCCTGCCTCCTTGATTAAGTAGGTGCCTACTTAATTAAGTAAGGGAGTAGTTCGCTCCTAGCTACTTAAGCTACTACATAAGGACGCAGGATAGCTCACGATTTGGTTCCTATTTTAGGGAAACTAGCCTGCCACCAGTTGTCCCTCATACCCTAGGCATCAACATGTCTAATAGTCTAATCAATCGAGAAGCGGAGAGCATGAAATCCGAGACAACTGCACATGGTCATCAAGATTGTGCCTTTTCTGGTCAAGGCATTGACACCACCAGGGCTGTCATCAAGCAGACTCGGGTCCACCGACCTTGGAGGTCAATATCAAACGAGCGAAGAAATCAACAGCCCAAGCATTCCATGTAGACGGTACCGCCCAAAGAAGGTCCCCAACCTTTCAAAAGCCTCAAGGAAAAACGAACATCACTCAAGGGCCCACACTTCAAGACCTTGGTGATAGCCGTCTCCTCCTCGAAGGAGGAATTTGATTTTTGCGCCTTGTCAACCTCTTTTGCCTCGGACCATGCAACAGGCCGGCAAAAGGGAGTTGCTTGCTCTGGCAAATCCGCTTTCGAAGTGAGTGACAGCTTCGCACAAAGAAACGAGTCCATCAAGCCAGGGCGCATCACCATTTCCATCATCATCATCAGGCGAAGTCAAAGTCCGGCGCCGCCGTTCTCGCATGCACAGAAATTGGACACAGTTACAAGTGCCAAAATGGTTTCGCGGTTTCGCATAATACAAAAATTTTGTCGTCCTTCACATTGGAAGCTCCAACCTCCATGTTCCGCAAGACCCTCGTGGCTCAATCCTAGTGATAAAGTTCTAATACGCATTATGTAAATATATACAGTATACACATGTGTATATATATATATGTGTGTGTACAACTGTTGCCCCGCCCGTTCTCTACCGAGCGTCTGATGCCAGGTGATCCTGGCACCGGTCGCTCGTGCCAGGCATCTTGCCGGTGAAAGCCAGTGAATGAGAGCAGCCAACTGATCGGCTGCATGGCGCACCCCGAATGTCCCAAGAATAGAATGTTCAAGAATACTGTCATACAGCATAATTTGCAGTTAACTTATTCACATATTACTATATTACTATACATCGAGTCTTGTGTATACACAGTGTCGCATATCTGTTGCCCTGCCCTCGTCTGTGCTCTTTGATGTTTGTTATTTTTTTGATCAAACATAGTTTCTGCAGTTGTTTCAATGATTTCTGTAATTTGCTTTTTTTGGTAATGTAATGTAATGTACAACCTTTACAAAAACGTTCACTGCGAGAGTCATGTTGCATAATAATAGCTGTTTCTTGCTTCATCATTTGTGATCGGATCTGTTGTTGGGGAACGTGTGTCGTCCAGACCTCCAGAAGCTGCGGTTTGAAGAAGCAAGAATTGAAACACAAGTTTGAAAAAGCTGAGATGCTTGATATCGAAGCTCACAAACCTTGACACAAATTCAATTAGGCAACAATAAAAACACCCATCCAAGCTTAACCAGCCTGACTTGTGAAGGCAGTCCAAAGAAAAAAACAACGTTTTCTGGGCGCGAGCAAACCTTGCATCCTCTAGCGGTAGCGACGGAGGCGCATGAGGCTGTGGCGACCTCGTGAGCTCTTTTCGAGCAACGCTTTTCAAAACCTGAGACCTAACAAGAGAGCTTTTATCGTTCTTCCCCCCTCAGCAATCGTTCTGGAAAGATGAAAACAGCTCAGCTCCTATCATGCTTTCCTCAAGAAATCTCAGAAATCAGGAACGTCTTCCACCCCACCCTCCAGAAATTGCAGCCCAAGCAGCGGTAGACCGCACGGGCCGAGGGGCGGAGTTTGGTGGCACGCTTGCCCTTCTTGAGAAGTCCACGAGCCTGACGCGCTGCACATGCAAACCCCGGAACCATGTCGGTCTGGGGCCCGAAGCAAACATCAACGGCTTCATTGACTTCTCTTTTTGGTCGACCCCTTGCCCTTGTCAGGACCCCTTGGTCACTGCACGCCTTGCGGCCTGCAGCCGTAACGCCCCGGAGTTCGCGGTGCTTCATGGTGTTTTTGCAGATCCTGGCTGATGCACAGAAAACTGCAGACACGCAAGTGGAAAGCCTGAACTGGAGTGAATGTACTTGAACGCTGAGTGCTCATGCTTGGCATCTGAATCAGCAGTGTTGACACTGCTGACGAACAACGTCAACACCTGAAGCCTTATCCCGACGGCCCGCAGTCCAGTTGATGCGAGGGTCATTGCGAATGGCCCTGAGCGCTACGAAATGCGAGCTTGCTAAGATGTTAGGCACAATGCTTTTTCGGACGGTACCTGCAAATAGAATGTGCCATGCATTGATCCACTTTGCTCAAAGTGGCAAAAATGAACCCATGACCCAAATCGCGGGCGTGATGTCCATTGAATTTCTCGCTAAGCAATCTTTCTGAGCTTTAGCCCCGAGCGAGTGGAATGGATCCACCATGATCACCTCGTACCACTTGTGCATAGCATCCTGCGAAATTGAAACCAGTTGAGCAAAAATGGCTGAACCTCTAACTCCGGAATTGGTGGGTATCCGAACACCCCAAACTAGGACTAGTAAACATGGCATCAGTGGCAACAGCAGCTGCTTTGGAAGTCGAAGCTTTTTTCCGTGTTCGACCTGGGTGGACAAGCGGGGATACTCTCGGAGGTCTCAAGAGCTTTGGAGTTTGATGCCTTTGTTGCAAGAGTTCTCTCCAAACCTCTCCTGGGCCACCCAGTAGGAGTTCAGCACTCGAAGACCTGCATACCAGCAGGAACTTTCAAAGTGTTCAACATACGGCTTCAGGCAGAGCTCTGTGCGGGTCCTCATTCAGGACCAAACACCAAGGCTGAACGGGGTTTGAAGGTGTTTGGGGTATGTGGGATTCGCAAAGTATCTACTAAATCATGTAGCAATGTACATAAAGGTGTGCTCTTGAGGATGTCTTGGTACCCTATGTGTGCATGTGTCTTGCTCAGCATGGGGTCAAGGCCAAAAGACTAGTGACACTGAAGCGATCATGTCTTGTCTTCACGGGAGTTCCAATCAGGGTGCCTGAGGAACCACAACCCATCTAAGCAAAGCATGTGCACCACCCAACCTGAACACTGGACCAACCATAGAATTGTCCCACTTCCATACTTCCAGCACCCACGAATGCTCCAACTACCTTACGAACAAGTGTACGCCGTGTGCATTCCACTCTGGCCTCCGCACTTGCGACCGACGCGTTCTTCTGCGATGCTCCGCAGGTTCCGCACGGCCTGCCAACGGGAGAGACGTCAACCCTTTTTGGTGCCACATGAACCACTCCCGCACTTTGTTTTTCTTGTCAACCTAGTCACCCCAGTCCAAGCAGTGAGGACAAAGAAAGCTACAAGACGACGACTCTCCGCCTTCCACTTGTTGATGCCTTGGTTGACTGGCTTTCCATAGACAATGCCCTTGGCCTGGGACCGAGCAAAGCATGCCTGATCTCTTGTTTCTTGTTCCGCTTGTACTCCCTTCTTTCTGGAATAGGACTCCAAACCTTCCAGTTCTCAGATTTTTGTCAGCTGGGCCCTGCACCACACGCTTCTTGCGGTCCCCTCGCTTCACGCGGACACGGTAAATGCAGTAGCCCTGCTTGGCCTCTAAAGCGAGGCTGACCAATCAACGACCTGTCTGGGAAATGCCTAGAACGACCTGAAAACAGCTCTGGACGCGGTTTTCTTTGCCTTCAAGCACAGAGCTTGCAGAGCTGGAATTGTGAGGCAGGAAACGTCTCAACTTTTGCAACTCACTTCTTTAATTGTAGGTGTCTTTAAGAAGGAATGGTTCAAGCAGCTACCACATATCCTCAGGCAGAATCTTCAAAGAAAAAGGAAAATGTCAAGTGAATTTCCAGGAACATCATGTAAGTGGTGTGGTGTCAATGCACCTGCAACCTGCATGGTTGAGCATTTGAGCTTTAAAAGGACTAAGACACCACCTGAGGAAACAGTTCTCTCGTCCCCACGAAGGCCTTGTATCCCACCTTTCGTGCTTTGTCTGGACGTGTAGGCCGAGAGCATCGGTGTACGGCCGGCCTGAAAGGGTCAACCCACCCGACATCCAAAGGCCTTGACCTTCACCAAAGTCATTATCACAAGCAGAAAGGAATCGAATCTTGAAGAGAACCTCCGAAACTGACCTAAAACCAGAAGTTCGATGAGCTCGTGCATTGGTTGGCGTTCCTGTAGTAGGCTTTGAATCAGGTGGTGCAGTGCTTCTCTGCCCCTCCCTCCCTCCCTCCCTCCCTCCTGCCCTTCTGCCCTCCCTTTCTTTCCCCGCCCCATCTCCATCTCCCTGTGTACAATCATCTGTGGTCACACTTGTGCTGCTACTATTGAAATGACCTCTTTCGCTGGAAATTTCCAAGTACCCCTCGTTGAAGGAACTCGTCGTTTTTGTTAATTCTGTTGGCCAAGAAGATCAAAGAGCTTTCTTCTCTGCATTGGACCCCGTCCAGAGCAAGCTGACAACCCCTTCTGCTTCAAGTGGCAGCTGGCGGAATTCCCAGTTCCGCATTCGTGCGAGGAAGCGCATCACATCCTGAGCCAAGATGTCAGTGGCAAAACATGGATCTTTCACATCAAGACAACAGAAACCTGAATGGACAACGGTCAAGCATCCGAAAGACACTCCTCTGAAAGAACATGGAGATCCCAGTGGTGTTGAAGTCCCCATTGAAAGGCGAGTCAATATACAAAGCTCGCCACCCCATGGCCAGCCGTCATGGTTCTTCAACAACTTGGGGTCACAGCAAAGCACTGGAGGTTTCGGTGAACTCATCCCATTGATTGAGGAAGACAAAAACTTGTCTGAAAAACCAGGCTCAATACACCTTCCCCCTCGAAACCGGCGTGCTCGCATGACCTCTCCCACGCCCATAGGGGAAAGTATTCTCATGTTCATTTTGGGGAGGTTGTTGCAGGATCTTTGTGTTTACGGACAATCCAAGGTTCTGATTGCTTCTTCCTCCACATCTCCTCCAAATATTTGTAGGCCCCCATGACTTCCCTGGCACATCCAGCTGTTAGAAAAGGATGGAGGAATCATAAGTGAAAGTACATATTTCACTTCCACAACAGTTGATGAAGCTCATCTAGTGCATGCTCTACGGGTACAGTACCGCCGGCTTGTTGGCCATTCTGGCTTGCAGCTACCAACGTGCCTGGGCTTTCTTCAAGCGCCCTGAAATATCCCGCAAGCCTCTGATTGGCTTGAGCCGAGGTCGGCTGCAGCCCAAAAAAGGTCTATCATGGGTGCGGGTGACCCCCATCTGAAAGTATATAAGAATCAACGAGTATATAAGAATCAACGTCCCATCGGCCGTCAAAACCATGGTTGGCCTTTCGATGGATCCATGTTTCGGCGCCCTCGCCAAAAGGTGAGCATCTGCCCAAATTCTGCAACTAAAGTTCAGACCCTCAGCATGATTCAGTCCCTTGCTATCGAGGTCCTTGTTATCAAGGTGAAAGCCTGAGTCACTGGCGATCTGGCGGTGGTCATATTTTTCACCAGTTGAAACACGTTTCTGTTTCAGTGAGTGGATGTCTGCTTTCTTTTCCATGGCAACCTGCGCCCCCAGTGTCCGCCTGCGCCAGCTGCCGACATGGAGCCCCCGATATTTTGCAACATGAAAATTTAACGGCTATAACCAGCCCCAACTCCAAGGCATTTTTCAACATGGCATGGAAAATCACTATGAACTGGGTAGAACGTTCGCGTCACCTTGAACACATTATGTCTTTTGCACCATGTTGATTGAATGAAGTCCAGTGAAGTTCAATTGAGGTCTTGCTTTGAGAAGAAACTCTGCAGCACGAGACAGTTCAGATTCCAATCTTAATGCATTAAGATTGGCCATTTGCTAGCAAAGCTGGAAAGTTTTGTGTTTGAAAGGTGAAGAATGACAAAATTGTGATTGGATCTAACCATTCACACTCTCAAACCATCATGCATCAAATGATGGTTTTCTTGTGGGTGAAATTCTGGTGAACAACATTTCGCATTGGTCCAAGTCAACTGTTTGAAGCTAAAGGCAAAAAAAATTGTTTCTCCAGACACTGCAATGGTGATCGCCTGCAACTCCAAAAAATTCAGCAACCTTCCACAAGTCCCCTTGTCGCTGTTCACACACTAGGAGAAAGATGTTCCGTTCTCAAGGGTTTTCCCTTCTCATGATCTCAGATCTCAAAAATCCACCATTAGACGGTTCCACCCTTGGTTTCTATACTGCAGGGGTTTGAGGGGGGCCTGTGTAGAATTAGCGTAATCAATTGGCATGTCTCAGCCGTTCCAAACAGCGCTAGCCGCTAGCCCCTAGATCTTGGAAAATGCGTCATGATTGGACCATGACCCATGATTGCTCGGAACATTGCAAAGTTCTCAGTCTCAACCGGGTTTAAATCTTATTTCAGCATGTGCAGGTGCACTACTCACTACTCTCCCTGGTCCATGACTATGCATATTCTCCCATTCCTGAAGGGACTCGAAGCATCCAAGAGTTGGCAAAACAATCTGCTGATGCTCAACTCCAATGGTCAAACTAGGGCCGCCGCTTCGATTTGTGTCCTGGTTCGGCATTGTTGCCAAATATAACTCAGTTCCCGCTCATCAGCTGACTGCATTATGACCATGAGGCACTCTTTGCCTTTGCCAAACAACAAGTCCCAAAGTTTCTGCCCGCGGCAACCTCTTCCATTCAAGATTCATGCAGTGAAAACAAAGTACCACAGGATGGTTCTTGCAGATCGCAAGAACATTTTTGGCTGATGTTCCGGTCCGAGAACTAGTGGCCCCCTACTTCAACTCATTGTGCCTCAGATATCATACCCATACCCTGCCAACCGAAGCACAATCCTCACTGAGCCGACACAAAAGAGCTATGGCGTTGCTGCGGGTGAGCTGCAACCGGCGGGTGTTGAAGGTATGGATGAATACTCCGCTCACTTGGACGATCCTTCCATTCCAGGCACCTGGTTTCTTTTGCACAGGATTGTCACCCAACTGACCTTCCCAACTCACTGCAGAATGGCACCAACTCTGGCGGTGTGTTGCCACATTCACCACTCATGACCGAGACTCAAAGAGAGGCCGGAACCACACGTATGCAGCCCTTCTCCCATTTGGATGACCACGCTGGTTTGTCAAGTATTTAATTCATATGTTAAGTAGTTGAAACACGTATCTCCTGTTGCTTACGGTAGCCCTGCCATGCCTTGCCCAGTACTACTGTTGGCCAACCACTATACCGGAGGAGCACATAATGGGATCGAGGCATCAAGGTCCTCCGCATCCCTGCCTTGTTGAAAGAAAGCAATCAGTATGGCAGTCGAGTCCCGACTCACAACCCACCTTCTGACACCGGCCAGGTTGCGGGCAATTGTTTGCACTTCATGTGTGTGGATACCGCCTAGAACATCCTCCGCTTCTTTCAGCTTAACGAGACTGTTGATGTGCTCAAGCATCAGGCATATTGCCCCCATCCCTTCATACCAATTCGAATGGCACCCTGCATTGCATCGTTGTCGACATACACCACTAACTGTGTAGCGGCTAACCTATGGTTCCATGCTTTTAGACCTACCACAATGCATACATTTCGTTTTCCAACATTGTTGTCTTTCTGGCACCCATGCCCAACATTTCACACACAGCTAGCATGAGAGAGCCAGCGATGAACTCAAGAGGAACTCCGCCAGGGCCAACTAAGACACACCCTACCCCGACTGGTTCACTCCTGTCTGGCTCGAAGCACAAGCGTCTGTGAAGAAAAGTACGTGTCTCGAGTGTATGTGTCCTTAAAGCGCGCGGAGGCCCGTTGAATAGCTCACCAACGAAGTCCTCCAAATGGCATCTCCAGGCGAAAGACATTTCTGTTCTTTTCAACACCGAGTGCTTGGTGACTGCGGCTAATGCCCTCCGAGCCATTCTTCCTGCGAACTGGTTCTCAGCAAACTGCAACCGTCCTCCCAAGCATTGGGCCAAACTCAAGTTGAGTTTGCCATCTTTCAACACCTGTTAGCTCGGTCGGCCGTGCTCGAGATGGTCACACAACCTGAGGTGAAATGTTCCAAGCAAAGCGTGTTGGAGAAAGGAATTCCCTTATCCTCAACAACAACCTTCCATCCCGACAATTCAAAAAGCATGTCCATGGCAGTTTGTCCAACAAACTGACAAAGCTTTGACCGCAAAGAGCCAAATTGCTCTGGCTACACAATGGAAGGCATAGACACTCTGAATCACTCTGAAAGGGAGCACCACTGCTTGGAACACATTCCTGGTCTTATCTTGGGGCCACCGAAATGAATGCACGCCGCCGGTGCGATTGCTTCAAGCACAACTGTCGATAAGCGCTCTTCAAGTCGAAGCTTCTAGCTACTGGCCCAACAGAATGAATCCCTGCCTGACTGTGCATCCAGAGATCGATCAATTGCGGCCGGGACATCAACCGAACACAACATGGAGCTTTCTGTAGAGAGGCGCTATAGTCGTCAACGCACCTGTATTTGGACTTTGCCACACTGTTTGGTAGCACGCTTGTTTTGAACCTCGCGCTTCGGTCGCACTGATAAGTACAGATACTCCACAAGTAGATCAAGGTCTCTATACATGTGTACAAGGGTGTGCAAAATGTTAACACCCAGCCTTGATGTTACACGTGTGTGAGTGTAAACATCACCTTCTTTCTGTACACTTCTTGATTTGTGCGGGATCTACCACTTCAAGGTAGCACTGACAAGGTCTCCCGCATTGAAACTCTAATGTATCTAGGATACATCCCGTTCCGACATCGAAATGCCATTCCCATGAAACTCCTCACAAATTCTGTAACCTGAATACGTGGTTCAGACGGTTTCACATATCCACCACTGCTCTCAAAACTGTAAATCTGCCTTGCAAAACAAATTCTATCGTTGTCCCAAACAATGTCGTATTGTACCGTGGTTCAGCTGGTTTCACGGCACACACAAACACTGAGTGTCTATGGTTCAGATGGTTTCATAGAACACTCCATCAAAAGACATGCATTCCACATTCAAATTGAAATCAATGATCTGCATTGTTGCTATCATCCGACTCCGGTTCACTTTCAAAGTGATGTAGTTCTTGCCACGCCGTCTCATCTGACACGCCGTCTCACCCTCTTCACTCTCATTGCCGCTCTCCGGTTTTCATGTTCATCAGTCTGCACTGTTTGTACTGCATCTGTAGGTAAACTTCTTCATGGCAAGGTACTCGAAGTAAAATACCCATCTTGTCATCAACATGCTGCGTCATCTGATTGCCCATTGCTTCTGCTCCTGTGTAGTAATGCGTCTCTATGCTTTCACCTTCAGGTTCATCTTCTTCTTCAATCTCTGGGCCTGGATCACTTGTACTGTCCGGTGAAAAATCGGTCATCCCCCGACACATCATGTGAGCTCGTCTTCGAACTCCTGCGTCATGATCCTCTTCCAAAATCGCCAGCTGCATCTGGAGAATTCTCTGTCTGCGGTGGTATCTTCTAAGCCAATCATGGTCCATTCTGTGACCTCTTCGCTGCATGCGATCCTCAACACGTCCAAGCATCCAATACAAGAACCACTCAGGTGACCACGGGTCCCGTCTCGGTGGCGGGTCCACCGGAATGGGGGAAAACACTGGTGCTCGTGGAGGAGGGCCACGAGGTGGAGGAGGTCTTGGTGGTATTGGCCCTTCGCTTGAACTTGCTTGCTCATTTGCTCCAACCGTTATTCCATCACCGCTTCCAGCATCACTTGTCATAGCCAACTCTGGTTCAGGCTCAGGAACAAATGTTTCCTCTCGCTTTCTTTTCCGACCCAGCCTTGCTCGAAGCCTCTGGAAATCGCTCCAATGTGTGAACATAGTTGCAAACACCTAGGATCAACAAAATGACCAATGTAAACACCACTTGGTGGTTTCCGCTTTGTTCAGCAGCTTCTGGTGCATCTTGTTCTCCACAACCTTTCTATGAAATTGTTTGCAACATCAAAGCACATTGTAC